CAATTTTCAAGTACCAAAACTCGCCAAATTACTTTCACTAGACGCTCTGTCATCTCCGATCATCCTTTGTATCTCTATGGGTCCCGTATCCCCGAACGTGATAGTCAGGTTTCTAGGCCTTCTCTTTGACCGTAGGTTATCCTGGAAACCTCGCATTACCTCTCTGAAGGCAACTTGTCACAGCCGGCTAAACCTTCTTAAAACCCTTGCTCATCTTTCCTGGGGAGCTGATCGTCCAACTCTGCTTCGCCTACATTCAACCCTCGTTTTATCGAAACTCGATTATGGTGACCAGATTTATTCAGCGACCTCTCCTGCTACTCTCTCTAGCCTTAACCCTATCCATCACCAAGGATTATGTTTGTGCCTTGGTGCTTTTCGCTCTTCCCCTGTTGAGAGCCTCTATGCAGAAGCAAATGTTTCATCCTTGTCTGATCGCCGTGATGCCCATTGCCTTCGCTACGATGTACGCTCTCACGATCTCCACAGTCATTCCATTTATAGAATGGTCACCGATATTAGTAGACATTCTTTATTCGTTCGCCGCCCCTGTTTGCTCCGTCCCTTTTCTCTTCGCCTACATTCACTCTTGTCTTCCCTTCAGTTACCACCTTTATATGTTCATGTAGCATCTCACTTTTCCCTACCCCCCTGGGAGGTTCCAGCTGTTCGGGTCTGTTCTTTCTCACTCCCGTGCTCGAAAGCTCAACTGCCTACGGTGGCTTCCCGCTCTTTTTCTTGATCACTTCCACTCCAATTCTCATGCCATTGCTGTGTACACAGATGGCTCTAAGTCTTCAGACGGCGTCGGATTCGCAGCAGTGTTTCCGGACAGCGTCGTGCGGGGGCATTTACTATCTTCGGCTAGCATTTTTACTGCTGAATTGTATGCCATTCTTGCAGCACTTATTCGTATCGCATCTATGCCTGTGTCATCCTTTGTGGTAGTCTCAGACTCCCTTAGTGCTCTACAGGCTATACGAAAATTTTATACATCTTGCCCCCTAGTTCTCCGTATCCAACTTTGGCTACGCCGTATCTCTATGAAGCATAAAGATATTATTTTTTGTTGGGTCCCTGGTCATGTCGACGTACAGGGCAATGAACAGGCAGACACTGCTGCGCGGTCAGCAGTACATGACCTTCCAATTTCCTATAGAGGTGTTCCATTTCTGGACTATTTTGCTGCAATAGCTACCCACCTTCACGCCCGTTGGCAACAACGTTGGTCAACTCTGCTTGGTAACAAACTTCATTCTATTAAACCGAGCATAGGTTATTGGCCGTCTTCTTGTCATCAGTGCCGTGGTTGGAAGACCACTCTCTCCCGTCTTCGCATTGGCCACACTCGTCTTACTCACGGGTATCTCATGGAGAGGCACCCTGTACCTCTCTGGAGCAGTGTCAAGTTCCTGTATCGATTAGCCACATTCTGTTAGACTGCCCTCTCTATCAACGAGCACGCAGAATTTACCTCCAACGCAGTCTTCTTTCTACTACTCTCTCTTTACCTTCCCTTCTTGCTGTTGGACCCTCCTTTAATCCTGACTCTCTCATTGACTTCTTGACAACGACTGATTTACTCCACAAACTCTGATGATACCTTACGCACTCCCCTCAGCCCTTTCTAGCTCAGTCTCTTGCTGCCCTTTACCCTTTCACTTCTCCGCTATTATCCGTAACCTATTACTCGTCCACCTCCCTTTTGCCACCTGATGCCCTCGCTTCCTTCTTGCCCTGCAGCGCTGTATAGCCCTTGTGGCTTAGCGCTTCTTTTTTGATTATAATAATTATCCCCAATTTGCATTTTTATGGCTGAATTGTATGCCATTCTTGTAGCACTTGTATTGCATCTGACACAATTTGTGATAGTTTGACTCCCTTAGTGCTTACAGGCTATATGAAAATTTGATACACCTCATTCCCTGGCCGTTCATATCCAACTTTGGTTAGGCCGTATCTCTAGCAAGCACAGATTTTTTTTTCTTTCCACGGTCATGTTGACATGTAGGGCAATGAATAGGCAGACACTTCTGCATGGTCAGCAGTTTCATATAGAAGTGTTCCATTCACAGACTATTTTGCTGTAATTGCTACTTACTCTCGCATCTGTTGGCAATGTCTGTCTGATCTGCTCTATAATAAGCTACATTCTGTTAAACCAAGTATAGGTTTCTGGCTGTCTTCTCATCAGTGTTGAGTGTGGGAGACTACTCTCCCATCTTCGCATTGGCCACAATTCTCAGGTATCTCGTGGAGAGAGACCCTGTTCGACTGAGAATCGTCAGGTCCCAGTTTGTTACCCACATTATGCTGAACTGCCCACTGTCAATGAGCACACCGAATTACCTCCGTCATCGTTCTACTGCCCTTTACCTTCCCTTCTTGTTGGACCTTTCCTTTAACCCAGACACACTGACTTTGACAGCAACTGATTTTACTGCACAAACTCACGGCCCTTTGTACCTCACTCTTGCTATCCTCTACCCCTGCACTCTCCACAGCCCTGCTCCACTCCATGACCTAATAATCATCCTTACCTTTTGCTACCTATTACCCCTGCATCATTCCCTACCTGGCAGTGCTGTATGACCCTTGTAGGTTTAGCACTTCTTTTTGATTATAATTAAATGTAGTCTCCTAGGGAGGTTCTCTGATGCCACTGAGGCTCTTGATCCAAAGAATTGTATCAGTTACCCTTTGAATCATACCTATAAATAATATTCAGTAATGTGTTTAGCCTTGCATACTGTTCTATCTACAGTAGTGGTCCTGAACCTTCTACACAGGTAGACCACACTTGATGGTTAAATGTGTGATGAGGTCCTAATGGTTTTGTTGACACTGCACTGTAGCCTACATAAAAGCAAATTCATAATTTTGTAGGAGGGCTGCATCCATTTCCTATTAAGCCCACATGTGGCCTGCAGGTTGGGGACCCCCGTTCTAAAGCGTGCAGAATTCAGTTTAGACTTTGCAACATGCTCACCAACTTCACTGAGGTCCTACCTTAAACTCAGATTTTTAAGTAATTCATTGTATCTACTTATTATGAATTGGCATTACTTTCACTAGACGCTCTGTTATCTCCGATCATCCTTTGTATCTCTATGGCTCCCGTATCCCCGAACGTGATAGTCAGGTTTCTAGGCCTTCTCTTTGACCATAGGTTATCCTGGAAACCTCACATTACCTCTCTGAAGGCAACTTGTCACAGCCGGCTAAACCTTCTTAAAACCCTTGCTCATCTTTCCTGGGGAGCTGATCGTCAAACTCTGCTTTGCCTACATTCAGCCCTCGTTTTATCGAAACTCTATTATGGTGACCAGATTTATTCCGCCGCCTCTCCTGCTACTCTCTCTAGCCTTAACTCTATCCATCACCAAGGCTTACGTTTGTGCCTTAGTGCTTTTCGCTCTTCCCCTGTTGAGAGCCTCTATACAGAAGCAAATGTTCCATCCTTGTGTGATCGCCGTGATGCCCATTGCCTTCGCTACTATGTACGCTCTCACGATCTACACAGTCCTTCCATTTATAGAATGATCACCGATATTAGTAGACATTCTTTATTCGTTCGCCGCCCCTGTTTGCTCCGTCCCTTTTCTCTTCGCCTACATTCACTCTTGTCTTCCTTCAGTTACCACCTTTATATGTTCATGTAGCATCTCACTTTTCCCTACCCCCCTGGGAAGTTCCAGCTGTTCGGGTCTGATCTTTCTCACTCCCTTGCTCGAAAGCTCAACTGCCTACGGTGGCTTCCCGCTCTCTTTTTCTTGATCACTTCCACTCCCATTCTCATGCCACCGCTGTGTACACAGATGGCTCTAAGTCTTCAGACGGCGTCGGATTCGCAGCAGTGTTTCCGGACAGCGTCGTGCGGGGGCATTTACTATCTTCAGCTAGCATTTTTACTGCTGAACTGTATGCCATTCTTGCAGCACTTATTCGTATCGCATCTATGCCTGTGTCATCATTTGTAGTAGTCTCAGACTCCCGTAGTGCTCTACAGGCTATACGAAAATTTGATACATCTCATCCCCTAGTTCTCCGTATCCAACTTTGGCTACGCCGTATCTCTACCAAACAGATATTGTTTTTTGTTGGGTCCCTGGTCATGTCAACGTACAGGGCAATGAACAGGCAGACACTGCTGCGCGGTCAGCAGTACATGACCTACCAATTTCCTATCGAGGTGTTCCATTTCTGGACTATTTTGCTCCAATAGCTACCCACCTTCGCACCCGTTGGCAACAACGTTGGTCAACTCTGCTAGGTAACAAACTTCATTCTATTAAACCGAGCATAGGTTACTGACCGTCTTCTTGTCATCAGTGCCGAGGTTGGGAGACCACTCTCTCCCGCCTTCGCATTGGCCACACTCGTCTTACTCATGGGTATCTCATGGAGAGGCACCCTGTTCCTCTCTGTGAGCAGTGTCAAGTTCCAGTATCGATTAGCCACATTCTGTTAGACTGCCCCCTCTATCAACGAGCACGCAGAATTTACCTCCAACGTCATCTTCGTTCTACTACTCTCTCTTTACCTTCCCTTCTTGCTGATGGACCCTCCTTTAATCCTGACTCTCTCATTGACTTCTTGACAACGACTGATTTACTCCTCAAACTCTGATGATACTTTTCGCACTCCCCTCAGCCCTTTCTAGTTCAGTCTCTTGCTGCCCTTTACCCTTTCACCATCCACTGCCCCGCTGTTATCCGTAACCTATTACTCATCCATCTCCCTTTTGCCACCTGATGCCCTCGCTTCCTTCCTGCCCTGCAGCGCTGTATAGTCCTTGTGGCTTAGCGCTTCTTTTTGATTATAATAATAATAATATGAATTGGCACTAATCCTAAATGTCATTTACCCCTCAAACTGTATACCCACATGAGCTTAACTTTTTTTTTTTATGCAGGCTGTGACGAATAACCTTAACTCCTAAGAGTCTCCCACTGAATGTGACTGAAAACAGCCTGAACAGGGAGAAAGAATAAAATTCAGAAAGATTAATATGTATTAAATATACAGGTCATATTTGTCTGAATACAAATTTCTGAAAATATGGCACCTCTTCCTTGGATTAAACCTGGTTATTTACCAGGCATTGGTTTATAGGTTTAGCATTTCTCCATAAAAATCATAAATTAATCTTATAGTAAAACAGTTAAGAACTTTTATATCATAAATAAGATACTGATTGGTCATAACTAGGAACAGTAAATTTGACTAGCTTTCTTATAACCTGAGTCAGTGTATGGCTGTAAATTTTTTGTAATAAATTATCTTATAAAGTCAGTTGTGCAGCCTTAATCTAAATGTGTAAGTTGGTGTGCACCTACTTAAGCATTGGTTTGCTTTTGTGTAGTATATTTAAATCTTATACTTATTGATATTAGTGATCTCTCTCCTCAGGTGTTCGATAATCTAGTCCAAGGTGTGCAAAGATAGACTCTTCGGTTGGAGTCTCCAGTAGAAATCCATCAGTTAGCTTCTCTCGGCCCTAAAAAAAAACAAAACAAAAAAAATTAACAAGCTTTAGATGAAATGCATGGTTGTATACATGTAATAAATATACTTGGGCAAAATTAGACTGCTCATTTATGAAATGTATATTGTTGTACAAGCTAATGCTCTGTATCTACACATACATGGAAAAAAGTTTCTTTGTAAACACAGCTGAGGTATATACCCTGTACCCCCTGCCCATCAAGGGTGGAGAAAGGTCTTTAATGCTAAGTGACCCTTGTCAGTTTAGTTTTGGTTTTAAGAATTTACCCCTCAGGGAAGGTTCCTTGATGGTGAGGGGCTCTTGATTTAGGGAATTGGATCTGTGCTCCAGTTCCCCGAATTAAGCCTGAATGCCTTCCACATCCCTCCCAGGTGCTGTATAATCCTATGGGTTTAGCGCTTCCCCTTGATTATAATAATAATAATTCAAGAATTTAAGCTAGCGAGGGGCCTTTAAAACAAAAAATTGTGCCTAGCTTACCTTTCCTTGGATGAAACCTGACTGCCTCATTCCCCCTATGCACTATGATTCTTTGTGGGTAATTTTTTTTTTTTTTTTTTTTACATGGAGCTCTAGTGCCATTAAAGTTTATGGATTTAATCTACTGCCTGAAGACAACATTAAATGCAAGATAGGTCTAATACCTTGGATGAAGAGCCCATTGGTGTGAAGGCACCTTCCTGTATATACCATACACTCCCTAATTAGTGAACACACAAGGGTCCCCACTTCAGTGTTTTGCAATAGGGAGGGATTCAATTACTCATTCTTCATTTATACAAGACTTTCTATAATAAATATATTCACCACTAAGTTAAGGACAAAAATATTTTAATGTAGGTATTGTGTGCACTGTATATACATTTCTTAAACTTAGCTATATTGTTCACTTAGTACATGATGGTGAAAATGAGTTATCAGGCTTTTACGTATATGCATTTCAAAGTGAAAAGACTCAAGATTTGTTTTATACTGGTAGCCTGGAACCTAACCTGTTGTACAAGCTGGGCCCACCTCTGTTAAATCCTCATTCCTCACAGACTCATAATCCAAGGAATTTGACCTGACTTCCCTTTTGAAATAATAGCAGACCCATGTGCAATTTTGTATCTATTTTAGTAATGCAAATTAAATGTTTTTCTGTGATATGTTTTATGCACAATGTCTGCTCAAACACCCCTCCTAACATTCAACTGTTGCAGTTATATAGAATCCCTGTATCAAGACAGTTGGAACAAAATTCAACTATACAGTATTGTTCATTACACATTGCCATGCCTTCTATAGCGAGGTCTACTCGTGTACCCTCCAAAGAAGAATTGATGCCAGCAAGTGGCTCTTGTTACGTGTGTACCTATCTTTCCCTCGGACTGAACCTGACTACCTCTCCTTTGCAATGTGCTGTATGACTTCCCTATGGGTTTGGCACTTGCTCTCCCCTGCCCTTTTAATAGTTTGTGATGTAATCCTGCAATGAATGTACTTACTGGTGACAGCCAAGAAATATGTAGGTAAGAAAGATGCATAGAGCTTGCAGCAAGAGAAGTGTACAGTAATTGCTCTGCTGGTGAAGGTTTTTAGAACCAATGAATTGTACTTTTCTTTCCCTTTCTTGGACCAAGCCCAATTGCCTCTCCATTTCCCAGGTGCTGTATGACCCTCTAAGGATTAACTGCTTTCCTTAAATTTAGTTGCTACTGAAAATAAAAGTGCAATTTCACACATTATTTTTTATGATCCAGGCTATTGTCATGTATTGGAGGGAAAGGCAGCTTCTTCTTAAGGTGGTATGGACATTTAAAGAGGCTGGAACGAAATAGAATGACTAAGAACATATAAATCTGTAGCGAAAGGAAGGTGACATAAGGGTAGGCCTAGGAAAGTCTGAGAGGAGGGGGTAAAGGAGGTTTTGTGTGTGCATGACTTGGACTTCCAGCAAGTGGTTTCAACTAGTGTATGCACACCTCGGGCAAGACAATAATGGAGTGAATGATGATGAAAGTGTGTTTTGGTCACTGCCAATGTCTTAAAAAAAAATCAGCCACTGCCAGAATGCTGCAATCTTCACACCACCCTCAAACCTACCCACTCGCATCTACCCCCTTCCCATCTTTACACCTATACCATCCACTCACAAACCCCCTTTTACCCTCTATCTGTAAGTGAAAAACAGTAGTGAATGTAAAAATATTGGATAAAATTAACTTAAACAGAATATTATGACATGGGAACACATTCATTTTATATTGTTTATTGGAAAATAGGGTCCTTGTGGCTTAGCGCTTCTTTTTGATTATAATAATAATAATTGGAAAATAGGTTTCGAGTACCGAACAAATGACTTGCAATCAATATTCTGTAACATTAATGCCATAAGTTGGGGCCCTACTGTATTATTAGTAATACAAATACAGCTAGAAAATGGACATTACTGTTGAAGGCATGGAAATGTATAATTTCTGTAATTATAGGTTATTAGCTCTCACCCTCCCACCTTCACTATACAGCTCTAATACCTCAATTTCCTTAACTGTTAGAAGTTTTTGCTTTTCTTGTTGGCACCTCCAGCATCACAAGTATTCCCCATGGGTGCCATGGTTAATATCCAAAAATGAGATGGGATGATAAAAAGCTCCAAATTTGTTTGAATATTACACACCCTGTCATAAGGTATATGATGAAGCAACTGGGGCATGGGAAGCTATTTACACAGGCATGAGTGACAGTAGTCTTCACCTTAAAATAATGGCCTCACCCATAGGTTAACTGTGAGGAAGGTGGTGGATGATTTTCCACAGTGAATTGGGATTCAGCATGACATGCAGATTGGTGCTTATTTTACACAGAATTTGCAGCCTGTTATATAGGCATTTTTCTCATGCAATGTGGGTTTGCAAACCTGTTCGGATGCATGTTATGTGAGAGACCACATATTGCTTGGCAATTAGAAGTAGGAAATTAAATACAACCCAAAGCACAACTGTGTTAACAAAAGGAAGCAGTTACTGTTATCTATACCTGTCTGACAATTCCTGCACGAAGGCCATGCTCAGAGAGACTCATGCCCATTTTGGTTGCTAGTAGCCTCATTGATCTGCAAAACATTTTCCTCATTGGAGATGTACTTCTTTACACATGTTTAGTCACATTTACAATTATGTTGTCAATTCTATACAGATATAATTTGTACCTAACAAATAATATAATGAAATCATGCATTTTAACCTTAGCAAAGAAATAAATTGTTTCATTTTATATTAATTTTACCAGTAACCATCCTTTAGGTTACAATTACAAACTACACATGGTATACAAGCAATTCTCACTTAACGACCGAGTTCCGTTCCTACAACTGTCATTAACCCTTTGAGGGTCTGTTCCCTAGTTCTACGGCTTTGAAGCCAAGGTACAAGCCGTAGTTCTCCTTTGTGAGCTTAGCTCACTCAGATGAGCTGTGAGCAGTCAATATGGGCCTAGATATGAGAGAATGCATCTATGTGGCAAGTGTGCACCACATAAAACAAATCTTGCAGCACGCAGTGCACGAGAGAATTTTTTACTGTTTTTGGAATAAAACAGCAAGTCTGCGGTGTATTTTCATGTTTTTTTACAGTTGTATTTGTGGTTTCTTGGTCTCTCTTCATAGAACGGAAGATATATTACACAAATAAAGATGATTTTGATTGGTTTTATTACTGAAAATGGCTTGAAATGTTAGATTTTTACTGACGTTCAAGAGTAAACAAATGATGTCACATGTAAAGAACACGTCAGATGGTGGGTCTAATGTGCATTCACGAATGCAATGATATAAAATTATTACAATATTAGATAACAGTAAATCTTCTATTTTTTGGTGTGAATAAAAAATAAGAATGGAATTCATTTGTAAAGCCTGGAAATGTAACTAACAGAGAAAATGTTATTTTAGTGCCAAGAATGCCTGCATTGTTTATTCTGTACCCAATTTTGAAATTGGAATACAGTGGAACCCTGAGTTTCGGCCGCCCAGAGTATCAGCTGCTTCAAGTTTTGACCGCTTTTTTCTGCTAAATTTTGTTCCAAGTTTCGGCCATTGCCCCATGTTTCAGCCGGCATACCAGACCTGTCCACCTGCACGCCTCCTCGCACAGGCGTTGTGAGCCAGTCTAGCTTTGTTTATCTTCGAGTGATCATTACCCTGCGGGCTCATCCAAACATTTCACAATAAACTCGTGTTTAGTGCTTGTTTATTGAATGTGACCATGCCACCATGGGCCCAAAAAGACTTCCTAGCGGCAGCAGTTGAAGCAAGAACTTCAACATGAATAGCATCAGACCACAGCTGAGGAACTTGCTTCAGATGAGGAAGAGGGAGTGAAGGAGGTGCCTTCTTCAGTGATTAAGGACATGTGTGGAATGTGGAACAAGTTGCAAAGTTTTGTGGAAAAATACCACCCTGAGCAAGCTGAAACAAGCCATCTCTGCAACATGTTCAGTTACAAAACAATGTCCTATTTTAGGCAAATCTTAAAGAGACGCCAGAAACAGAGCACTCTTGAAAGTTATTTTGTGCGACAGGGGTCCAGTGACTCAAACTGGTTCTAATGGCATTAAAAGACAGAAGGGAAGTAACCCCAGACAAGGACTTGTTACCTGAATTCTTCATGGAAGGGGATTTCCTTTCCAAACAATAAGTCCTCCCTCTCTCCTCCTCCTCCCTATCTTTCAGATGCCAGCAAGACTCTTCAATAAAGGTACGTTAATGTGATTTTAAATGTTTATGTTTTGTATTACTCATTTAAGTACTATATGTATGTATAAACTATAGTTATTCTTTAAAAAATGTATTTTTTTGTAAATATTTTCGTGGGTCTGGAATGGATTAATTGTAGTATTTACATTATTTCTTATGGGAAAGATTGCTTCGACTTTCAGCCATTTCGAGTTTAGGCCTAGCTCCTGGAACAGATTATGGCCGAAACTTGGGGTTCCACTGTATTTTGAACTTTGCGTGAAATTGGCCAAATTACCAATTTCCGATCACTTTACTGGATAGTTGATTGGGCGATTTCTTGTTCTCAATTGATAAAATAGAAGCAATACTAGCGAATTAGCTAAGAATTTGGTGAATTGGAATAATGTAATTGACTTAAAATGGGAGTTAAATCTGGGCAAAATTGCCAATGCATAAATATCACTGATGCAGCAAAATTCGCAAGAGCATAATTTCATCAATTTTCCATCAAATTTTGTAGTTTTTCTTTTATGACCATCAAAGATTCTCTACCATTTCATAAGAAAAAATATTTTTTTTTTAAATTCTTGGACCCTATGGACAAGTTTCAGATCAGGGGTCTGGACCCTGAAAGGATTAAGCGAATTGGTTGGTAAGAGAGGAGCGTCATTATCAGAGTTATCAGGAGCTGTAAAGGACCGGGGAAAGGAGAAGACAGTGAGGAAATGGAAGGACCTGTAGGGGTAGGGGTCTGGGATGCAGCTTTCCAGAAGAATACCATAAATGTGGTCTGCTATGTAATTTTCTGTTTTTCTTCATAAATTTCAAGATACCATCAAAAAAGTTCATGAATCTGTTGTTCCACTTTCATGATCCATTCAACATTTGGGTCCATACCCTCTAGTTCTAACATAACCACATTCACTTTCCAGAACACACCAGCTAACCCTTTTACAGTGAACTTCTTATGTACTTCTATTCTTTCCTCTTCCAAGTGCTGCTGTGTTTCCAACTCTATTAAATCTTCGTTAGTTAGCTCTCCCTCGACATATTCCACCACTACTTCGATATCTTCCACTTCAACATCTAAATTAAGCACGTTAGCAAGTTTCCACGACCAAAGTTCTTGTATAGCGTATAATACAGACTGGTCAAAGAGCCGGTCATAAATCTGCATGGTCGTTAAACGATAGGTTGTTAAGTGAGGAGTGTCTGTATACCCAATGTGTAAATCTACATTCCTGAGATCATTAACAGTAATCAGAAAAAGAGCACTAAACCTATAGAGGTGGAAGTAATAATAATATCTTTATTTCTACAAGTACATGTACAAGGTATACAGGCCTAGCTGACATACTATGTAGAAAGCCGGTTCTTATGCAGAGCATTTCAGGCAAATTAGATTAGTTTTTCTGAGGATGCGACCCACACCAGCCAACTAACACCCAGGCACCCATTTTACTGATGGGGAACAAAGACAACTGACATAAGAAAACACGCCCAATGTTTCAGGAACTGAACCCGGACCCTCACTGTGTGAAGCAAGAGCTTTACCCACCAGGCCATGGGGTACATATACAAACAAAAAATGCAGAAATAGAAAGGCAAAGATAAGTAATGTCAGCACAATCAATCGACTGCAGACAGAATATACATATGGTATTGCAGTGAAAGACCTACAGTAGTATATATATTTTTTTTTGACACTTCAATAACTACAGGGTATTAAATATATTAAAACATAGTACAAACCTATTAAAATGTGCAGATCCTGTGAAGTACATAACAGCTGGGGCAAACTCTGCATATGGCACCACAATCACATCTAAACGCCTATGCTGCAAAAATACATAAAAGTATGTACTGAGCAAGTATACTCAGTAAAGGGATATCTCCCTCAGTCATCTATCAGAGTATATTTCATATTTTACTGAATTCTTAAAAAAATCAATACAGCTTTTCAAAAAAACTCTAGGACAGTGCCTTGATATCAGTGAAAAGCTCTTTATCTAAAGAATTGGAGCTACCCTTCCCTTCCTTGGATCAAGCCTAATTACTTCCCATTCCCCAGGTGCTATATGACTTGCCAGTATAGCACTTCATAAATATAATAATAATCTCCCAAAAGTGAATAAATAAATAGTTCCACAGCAGAGAGTAACAATGCTTCAAAGGAATACAGTACAGCAGTGTATATGTGAGGTTCCCAACTTACACTTCCAAATGTAGAAACCAGGCACTTGAACTAATTAGAATTTTACAATCAGTGAAATGAAGTGCAAACATGCATGTGAAACAAGCATCTTTTTTACTAGTGTTTTTCTGTACAAACAACTTGTTTGTACAATCCGATTGTCTCCCATTTGGGTTTAGTGCTCCCCCATGAAAAATAAATCGTGCAACTTTTGGGTACTACAATGTACAATTTACCTTCTATTTTGCAGCAGTGTGTTTGATGCCATTTTTACTGATGACTAATGGGGAGGATGATAACATGTTCACCTAGTATGTGAAGCAACATTTATCTAGTTTAATGTGTACCTTATCAAACATGCATATGAGGCTGATGTAAAATTATAATCCGAAGTAGAAACAACACTTATCAGTTGAAATGAATAAGATAAAATTATATTTACATGATGGGGTTATGTTGCTGCTGATGCGGCTAATTAGTCATCCATACAAATTTGCAGGGGGTTACAGCCCTAGAGGTCCTGCAAAACTTAAAACTGAGTAATATAAAATTCAGAAAAATTTTTGTTTCAGAGACCATATGTCTGTAGCACAGTGCAGTACACTGTATTACTCTTAATCTTGTTATAACTCCTGACATTCATAAGAAGGAAAAAATAATTAAAAGAAATTTGAGTATGAAAATGTCATTGAGTACAGTTTAAATGAAATCCATGGATACCTGAATCTATTTGCAGGATGCTATCCATCAGTAAAAAGTTGTACAAGTGAAGCATGCAAATTCATAAGGACAACTATTTTAACTGGCCAACACTATTATTATCGCATTTGTGGAAGAAGCACTGAACCCATAGGGGGTCATCTAGTACATGGTTTGAGCCAGAGGAGGATGGGTCCAATTCCTCTGGACTGATCTCTGATATCAACAGACACACCCCTTGATGTGACTTTGCCAACAAATGAAGCTACACATATATGGTGACCCAAAGCACCCAACCTCAATACATTACAACGGTCTAACACAAAATCAGTTTTTTGTAAAGGTTGGGTTCCATGTTCTTCACCTAATTTTGTGACTTTTCACAGATATTTGAACATTAAGCTAAAATTTTTCAAAAAATGTTAAATCGAGAGATTTTACAGGTACGTAAAACATTAGGGACAGCTAAAAAATTCTTAAGTCACACATGGCTTGGTAACTGGGGAAAGTGCTTGGGATGGAATATATCTTTCATTTTCTCTTGTTATACCAATATTGGCCTTCATGAAATAGCTCTTCACTAAACTCCATTGTTTAGGAAAATATCCCATGCAAAAACCGAAAATTGCGTGTACTGTATCACATTAATGAAAGTCTATGGTGAAAAACAAAATTCTGTACCTTGCGACCTTCTCCTGGTAACTTGCATACACCTAAATACTTCTGCTGATTCCCATTATCCTCCTTAGTTACAAGGTCATTTGTAATAAACCCTGCAATGGAAAATCTTGTTTTGAGCTACTATTTATGTTTTTCCTAGTACATCAAAATTGATGCACAAAACTCTTATAAACAGCCAAAAACAAAATGGCAGGAGATCAAATTTTTGGGAGGATGTGAAGTAAAAAGTATGTATGGAACTGTTCAAGTACAGTGGTGCTGCATAGTCAGGTACATAAGAATGGGATGCACTACCTGTTTGATAAGTCACTTTCAACTGCAACTTTCTGTGACAATTGCAATTGTACACCCCATCCTCCCTGAGTGAGGAACCAATGGGTTATACATAACTTGAGGTGGTATGGTACTGTAATTCTTAATTTTTTTTTTTTTTGCTTATTTCAAATTGTATTGAATTTTGTTAAATGTCTTGATAGCTTTCCAATTAAAAACTCATTTTGTAATTTAATAATTTATACCCAGTATCTCAGTCTGGAGTTATCAGGTCAGCTGACAAAAGTGACAAGATATCATATGAGAGATGCTGTGCTGGCATCCTAGGCCCTCACTGAGCCTCTTGGTAGGTGCAGTAATGATGAAAACAAAACTATCTGCACAAAATTTAATGAGGCTGGATGAAGGGAAGCACAGTACTGTAAAATCATAAGACAACAAAAGCGATAAAATGTACAATCATACCCTGCCCTGTCATTAATTGGTTCCAAGAGCCATGATGCAACCCCATTTTTGACAAATGACAGAATGCCTTAAAAGGATGACAAACACCGTAAAACTAGTGTAAATAACTTGCGAAAGAGTATTGCTAAACCTTAAAAAATGCTAAAAACACATTTTAGTCATTTTTTAAAGAATAAAAAATTATAACATAGGTGACACTGGTCGAACGACACCCCCCACCCGAGGGGCCATCGCCGGGTTGCCATATGGAGAAGACCCGGGCCGGAAGTACCAGCGAACCAACTTGAATCGAATTGATCAAATCAGTGACAATGCTGAGTGACGTAAAGTCAAACAATGACATTCGCTGAATTGAAATTTACTCTAGAAAGGTGGGGTTAAAGTGAATCTGACGCAGGCCGAAATGACATATAGCAGGGTATGACTGTATTATAATAGGAAGCGGACATCTGCCAGGTCAATTAATAACATCATTCTTCTATGATGAAGCAATGTACCTTGTTCACACCCTTTCATGATCCTACAAATTTAACTACCTTACTATTATCTACCAAAATTAATTTGACAGATATAAGAACATAAGAAAGGAGGAACACTGCAGTAGGCCTATTGGCCCATATTAGGCAGGTCCTTCACAAATCCAACCCACTAACAGAACTCACCTGTTTCTTTCAAACACTTAAGAAGTGGTTTAAATATATTTTCATGAGAGTGTCCATCAGGATGAGTGACAAGAATATCAACATCTCCACAGCTTGGTTTCCCTCTACGATATGACCCACACACCATGACAGTCAGCCCTTGTTGTACACCCAAAGCAGCTGAACGTACCTACAGATGATACAGTATTAAAATGCTTTTTTCTTTCAATCTATATAACCAATGTATCAAAGATATGTACAGCCAAGTCTAAAGAAAAAAAAAATTAGATTCATATGGTAGAGTAAAAAAAAAAAAAAAGAAATAACTCCAGTAAATAATTACACTGAAAATGAATGCTTGTGCATTCAAAATGACTGAAAAGACATGAGGAAATTTAATGTAACTTAATATCCTGTATAGTGGAACCTCAAATTTCGAACATGATCCATTCCAGAAGCTAGTTCTAAATTCGAAAAGTTTGAAAAGCGAAGCAGTATTTCCCATGAGAAATAATGGAAATACAATTAATCCGTTCCAGAAACCCAAAAATATAAAAAAAAAAAAAAAACATATATTTTATAGAGATTAATTATAGTTTTACCTACACAACAAATATAGTGTACAATTATGTATTAATAAATTTAAATAAACATATAAAATAACATTTTTACTTACCTTTATTGAAGATTGGTGATGGCATCTGGAAGATAGGGAGGAGGAGAGAGGGAGTTGGGGTTAGTGCTGGGAAGGGGAATCCCCCTCCATAAGGACTTTAGGTATCAAAGCCCTCTCTGGGGTTACTTCCCTTCTCTGTCTTTTAACCCTTAAACGGTCCGAACAGATCGACGTTCAAATTCGTAATGCTACAAAAGTAGATCTACTTTTTTTTACATATTTTCAAATATAACAAAAAAATGTAGATAAAAGTTTTTTTTACACGTTTTCAAATGTAAAACAAAAAAGAAGATCTACATTTTTTTTACATACTTTCAGATGTTGAAAAAACATATATATACGTTTGGACCGTTTAATGGTTAATGCCACTAGGACCAGCTTGAGAGTCACTGGACCCCTGTCTCACAAAATAACTATCCACAGTCTTCTGTTTCTGGTGCCTCTTTAATATTTCCCTAAAATGGGACATGGTTCTGTCACTGAACTTGTTGCAAAGATGGCTTGTTTCAGCTTGCTCAGGGTGGTACTTCTCCACAAACATTGGGACATCATTCCACTTGGAGCAAATCTCCTTAATCTTTGAATCGGCATGCAACTTCCTTGCCTTTTCACAAATAATCATCTCTGAAACACTATCACCTGCCATCTCTATCCTTGATCCACACCAGCAACAACTTCTCAACATGATCGACTGTCGGTGGTCTTTTTTTGGTTAGCTTATTAACACCTTTTGTAACATCAGTTTCCTTGATTTGTTCTTTCTTTGCCAGGATAGAAGCGATGGTCGACTTGTTTTTCCCATACATCCTGGCAAGCTCAACAAGTTTCACACTGCTCTCATACTTCTGTATTATTTCCTTCTTCACATCTATGGTGTTTCTCACTTTCTTTACCACAGCCGTACCACTAGCAAGTTTCTTTGGGCCCATGGTAGCTTATTTCACAGTCCCACAATCACTAAATACAATGAATTAATCGCAAAATGTTTGAATGAGACCGCAGGTTAGTGTTCACTCAAGCATCAACAAAGCAAGACTGGCTCAAGGCGCCTGCACGGGGACGCAGACAGAGCGAGCTGGCGGACAGGTCCAGTACCCTTCGGTTCGAAAAAAGGAGCAAGTTCGATAATGGGGACAAAGTTGGTTTGAAAAAAACGGTCGATTTTCAAAGAGTTCGATATGCAATATGTTCGAAATTTGAGGTTCCACTGTATATGAAATATGTGTAAGAAAAACCAGGAAAAATATAAACTTTTTTTTTTTTCAACAAACCAGTCGTATCCCACCGAGGCAGGGTGACTAAAAAGAAAAACAAAATTTGTTCATTTTAAATTTAATACTTTATACAGAAGGGTTATTAATCCCTTGCTCCCAGCATTTTAGTTGCCTCTTACAACACGCATGGCTTACTGAGGAAGAATTCTGTTCCACTTGCCCATGGAGATAAGAGGAAATAAAGAAGAACAAGAACTATTAAGAAAATATAAGAAAACCCAGATGGGTATGTGTATACTGTATATATATGTGTATACATGCATGTGTTGTGTGACCCAAGTATAAGTAGAAGTAGCAAGATATACCTGTTATCCCGCATGTTTATGAGAAAAAAGAAACCAGCAATCCCACCATCACATAAAACAATTACATGTTTCCATTCTACACTCACTTGGCAGGACAGTATTACCTCCCTGGGTGGTTGCTGTCTACCAGCCTACTACCTAGGTAACAAAATCTTAAGATCATTTAGAGCAAGAGGAAGATCTTTTAGGTCATCAATCAAAAATTAACAAAACAAAAAAATAATCAAAACTCAAACTTACATAATCTTCAATTTCTGTCACTTCATCTCGAGGTATTCGACTATTGATATCTTCATAATGCTCAAGGCCAATCTGCTGGTGACGTGTTAATGCAGCCTTCGTGCGTAAATCTTCGAGAGTTCTGAAACCCTGAAACAAAATGAGGAGGTTTACAAATTTATGTTCATCTAAGCACAGTGTTTAAGCTTTGTCTTGTACACACATTTTTTAAACAGCAAACACAAGAGCAACATCAAAGAAGCACATACTGTGGACCCTCAGTTATCGTCCGTAATCCATTCCAGAAGCTCGGCCTAAAACCAAAATGGCCGAAAACCGAAATAATATATCCCATTAGAATTAATGTAATTACAATTAATCAGTTCCAGACAAAAATATTCACCAAAAAATATTTTTTTTAACAATTAAATCAGTATTACATACCTTTATTGAAGACTAATGCTGGCTTCCTGCATGCCTGCTACACTCCCTGCATGCCTGCTACCCTTCCTGCATGCCTGCTGCGCTCCCTGCATGCCTGCTGCACTCCCTGCATGCCTGCTGCACTCCCTGCATGCCTGCTGCGCTCCCTGCATGCTGCTGCGCTCCTGCATGCCTGCTGCGCTCCCTGCATGCCTGCTGCGCTCCCTGCATGCCTGCTGTGCTCCCTGCATGCCTGCTGCACTCCCTGCATGCCTGCTGCGCTCCCTGCATGCCTGCTGCGCTCCCTGCATGCCTGCTGCGCTCCCTGCATGCCTGCTACACTTCACGTTTAAATTCCTTGGTGTTTCTCACTTTTTTTACCACAGGAACTTTACTAGAAGCTTTCTTTGGAGCCATGGTTACTTATTTTGCAGTTGCACTGCAAAAAACCCACAAAAAAACAATGGAAAACAAGCGAAATGTTTGGATGTATGAGCAGAAGTTTCCTCACACCCTGAAAGGCACAGCCAAACTGACGTGCAAGCGGCCCCAGTCAGCGGACGGACGTGTCCCAAACGGCCAGTCACCAAATTAATGGCCGATGACCGGGCGCCAAAAAACAGGTCGATCACCGAGTTGGCCAATAACAGAAGCGGCCGATAACTGAGGGTCTACTGTAATGGCATTTAGAAAGCAAATATATCAAAGTGCAACAATGTACGTATTTGTTAAAAGAATTCTGTATAATGTATACTATATTACAAAGTAAAAACAATCACAACTTGCTTGATTGTTGTAAGAATATAGACAAAGTAGACAAGCATTTGTTGATCATAAAGATTCCTAAATGTTGTACAATTATTCTTCAATGCTGAAAAAGCTTTTTACTACAGACATGCAGGCCAAAATTGCTGCGAGGTGTTCGCATCAAAAAAAAAAAAAAATGTGGATTATTGTAGATGAAAAAGGTTCAAAGAAGAGCTACAGGATAACAGGGGTAAAAAAAAAAAATATGAATCATGAAAGACTGAAAACAATAAATATGTCTTTGCTAGCTGATAGGAGGAAAAAGAGGAACTATGTTAACTTTAGGTTATAAAAGTAAGAAAAAACAGATAAAGATTTTTTTTAGTACAGTGGAACCTTGGCTTACAAATGCCCCACCATGCGAACTTTTCAGGATATGAACAGTCGCTCAGTTGATTTTTTGCTTCTGGATACGAACGAAATTTCAGAACGCAAACTTCCCCCTCAGGAGGTTCCTTGGTGAGGGGCTCTTGATCTAGGGAATTGGATCTGTGCTCCAGTTCCCTAAATGAATGATAATCAAAATCAAAATAATTATAATTATTACAATAATACATACGTACTTAAACTACATTCAATTGTAACCTTAAATTACATTCACTTGTAAGACGAAGAATGAGGGGAGACATGATCGAAGTGTATAAGTGGAAGATGGGTATTAACAAAGGGGATATAAATGAGGTTTTGAGGATATCCCTCCAAGAGAGAACCCGCAATAATGGATTCAAATTCTATTCTGTTAGTGGGATGGATTGTGAAGGACCTGCCTAATATGGGCCAACAGGCCTGCTCCAGTGTTCCTCCTTTCTTATGTTCTTATGTAATAATAATAATACACTGCAGCAGGCCTGTTGGCCCATACTAGGCAGGTCCTTCACAATTCATCCCACTAACAGAATATTTGCCCAACTCAATTTTCAATGTTATCCAAGCAATAAGCTTTGATAATTCTATTTACTCATGTGCATGTCCCACTCACATCCAACCCCTCTCACTCATGTATTTATCCAACACAAATTTGAAACTACCCAAGGTGTTAGCTTCGACTGGACCTTGGGTAGCTTTAAAACGAGATTGGACAAATATATGAGTGGGAGGGGCTGGGTATGATTGGTGTCGTGGCTACGTAATAACATAAAGGAGGAACACTACAGTATGCCTGTTGGCCCATACTAGGCAGGTCCTTCACAAATCCAACCCACTAACAGAATAAACGTACTGAAGCGCTGACAATTCTATTTACTCATCTTGACTGAGCTAATGGAGTTACAGGAAGCTGACATTGAAGAAATGCTGAACAGTAACAACAATGCACCCATTGTGCATTCCTTGAGTGATGGTGAAATTAGATTAATTGTGATAGATAAATAAGCCATAGAGTTGATATCGGTGTCACACTGAAGTATTTTTTTGTGCCTCCTGAGAGCAGGAATTTCACTGGCACGGATTAGTGCCATTTCAATTAATTTAAATGAGGAAAATTGACTCGGCATACGAACAAATCGGGATACAAACAAGGTGACGGGATGAATTAAATTCATAAGTCGAGGTTCCACTGTACTGCAACAGGAATAACAAGAGGAAACAGCTGTAATCAAGAAACAAAAGGGGCAAAGGGATACTGCGACTTTTTTTTTACAAAAAGAAAAAATGAATGGCAAGGTAGTTAGTGCTACAATCAATGTAAATTTTAAAAAAATTACATGATGAACATATCACTGAAGAGAGAGAATACCAAGAGCACAGCTCTTCTCCTGTAGCTATAAACATGTAATTACAAAGAAATTCACGTAATACTTCTACAGGCACTCCTTACTTAACCCTTTCAGGGTCCGTCCCGTAGATCTACGGCTTTACGTTCAGGGTCCAAACCGTAGATCTACGCCATGAGCTCAGCTCACTCTGATAAACTGTGAGTGGTACATTTGGGCCTAGATATGAGAGAATACATCTATGTGGTATGTGTGCACCACATAAAACAGATCCTGCAGCACACTGTGTATAATGAGAGGAAAAAAACTTAAATCATGATTTTTCGATTAAAACAGCAACTTTGCAGTGTTTTTTCGTATGTTTTTTATAGTTGTATTTGCGATTTCTTGGTCTCATTTGATAGAATGGAAGACATATTACAGAAATAGAGATGATTTTGATTGGTTTTAGCACTGGAAATGGCTTGAAACTGAGCTCAAAGTAGCGGAAATGTTAAATTTTTGCCGATATTCAAGAGTAAACAAACGACCTCACATGTCTAATACACGTCAGCTGGTGGGTCTAATATACATTCACAAATATGGTGATGATATTTATACAATTATTACAGTATTGCATAACAGTAAATCTTCTATTTTTTGGTGTGAATAAAAATTCATTATGTGAATAAAAAATCAAAATGGAATTTATTTGTAAAGCCTCAAAACATAACTAATGAACAGAGGAAACGTTAGTTTAGTGCCAGGAATGCCTACATTGTTTATTCTGGACCCTATTTTGAAATTGGAATATTTTGAACTTTGTGTTAAATTGGCCAAATTAACAATTTCCAATCACTTTATTTTGTAGTTGAAACAGTTGGCTTGGCGATTTCTTGTGCTCAATCGATAGAATAGAAGTAATACTAGTGAAATAGCTAAGAATTTGGTTGATTGGAATAATATAATTGGCCTAAAATGGGAGTCAAAGTCGGCAAAATCGCCGATTCGTAAATGTCGCTGACACATCAAAATTCGCGAGAGCATAATTTCGTCAATTTTCCACCAAATTTCGTACTTTTTGTTTTATTACCTTCACAAAAAGATTCTCTATGATTTCATAAGAAAAAATAACAAATTTTTTTTTTTTAAATTCTTGGACACTGGTGCGTGACTCCAGATTTGGCCTTGGACCCTGAAAGGGTTAATGACCGAATTCTGTTCCTACAACTAGGTTCTTAAGCGAATTGGTTGATAAGCGAGGAGCATCATCATCGAAGTTATCAGCAGGGTTATTAGGAGCTGTGGAGGGCCGGGTAAGGGAGACTACAATGAGGAAATGGAAGGACCTGTACGGCTAGGGGTCCGGGATGTAGCTTTCGAGAAGAATCCCATTTGTGTGGGCTGCTTAGTAATTTTTTTTTTTTTTCATAAATTTCACGATACCATTGTGAAAGTTCATTCATTTGTCGTTCCACTTTCGTGAACAGTTGAACATTCGGGTCCATACCCTCTAGTTCTAATACAGCCGCATTCACTTTCCGGAACACATCAGCTAACCCCTTTACAGTGAACTTGTTTTGTGTTTCTTCTATTCTTTCCTCTTCTTCCTCTTCCAAGTGCTGCTGTGTTTCCATCTCTATTAAATTTTCGTTAGTTAGCTCTCCCTCAACATATTCCACTAATTCTTCAATATCTTTCACTTCAAAATCTAAATTAAGCACATTAGCAAGTTTCCACGACCAAAGTTCTCATACAGCTTACAATACCGACTGGTCAGAGAGCTGGTCGTAAGTCTATGCGGTCGTTAAACAGGTAGGTTGTTAAGTGAGGAGTGTCTGTACTGAAAGTCTAAAAAGCAAAAAAAATTTTTAAGCAATCTGACATGGAAAAATAAATACAGGTACATACTGTCATACATAATAGTAAAATCTTTAATACTGTACTATACAACTATACTGTATACACATCATTATGGTTCTTCCTTTTACTTCAAGTGTTTTAGCTGCCTCTAAACTAATGCAGTGAACTTTCAATGCATGACTGATAAGTACTGGTATAAAGCATGTCCTTACCTGAGTATACCAATTGTGTGCTGTAGTTGGCCCAGCTCCCCACACACCCATAAAAAGCTTGAGGGTCTCGACTTCCTCTCCTTCACACACCTCGGCTACCTTCCTGAGTTTCCCACTTTCAATAATCTCGGAGACCTTATCAGCCAAACTTTCTCCAACACCATGGATACTGAGTGCTTCCTGTAACAAGTATTATAATTTAAATAAAAACTTGTGGTGGTACCAAGAGTAGTGGAGAGGGAAAATATATCCCTTGTCAATAAGAGGTTCTATTATTCTGATAACACTGACAAGTCCTAACAAGTCCTCCGTACAACTTTGAATTTTTTTCCTGTTTACTCATTAATGTCAAACATTAAGAGATGTTTCAGAATCCCACAGAACAAGTAACTTAGATTCCACACCAATATCTATTATTAGCTATATGCAGTGGACCCCCGGTTTACGATATTATTTCATTCCAGAAGTATGTTCAGGTGCCAGTACTGAACGAATTTGTTCCCATAAGGAATATTGTGAATTAGATTGGTCCATTTCAGACCCCCAAACATACACGTACAAACGCACTTACGTAATTGGTCGCATTGGGAGCTGATCGTAAAGCGGGGGTCCACTGTACTTCATACTGCTTGAACAAGACTGAGGCTGTTCAATAATCAAATTCTTCGATGGATAAAAAACAGGGTATTTAGAGGGTACAGTACTTTTTATCCAGTGTAGTTTTTTCTTCACATACATAACACCCATTATAGTATACTGTATTATATACCAAATTATTTATCTGTGGTGCACTCTTATCAGAGAAGTGTAACAAACAAAATAACAAAAGAAAGACTGGACTCTCCAAGAAGCTGTCTCAACTCTAGCACTGTGTATTTTTTTGCAGTTATGTGGCATCAGTAGGAGTATGGCAGAGAAAATACACATTAACAGTATGGTACGTACTGTACTAGCTTCCTGCTGTCTAGACAAGACTTCACAGATAGAGTGATTCCCACTGTGCAGGCTCAATAGGCTTTTTGTTATGACACACATATATATGTCATCTTTGGTTGATAAGCAAAAAAGAGGAAGCAAGATAAACCTATTCATAGCTTCATAAGGATACAAAACACTTGACAGGGAAGACATCCTAATCCTCATCAACTGGCAGAATAAGAAGACATAACTATAAACTAAGATACAAAAGAATTGACAAGGAAGACTTCCTAACCATCCTGTCTATCAACGAGAATGCAGAATTTTCCTCCGACATCATCACCACTCTAACGCCCTTACTTTATTTTCCCTCCTTGATGATGGCCCCACCTTTGACACAGACTCCCTCTACGACATTTTGACAGCAACTGATTTATTACACAAACTTTGATAATCCTTCCTTTAGCACTCCTCACAGCCCTTCCTAACTTTATCTTTGTTATCCTCTCCACCCTTACTTATCCTCAGATCCTGCATCAATTCCTGCCCTGCAGCACTGTGACCCAAGTAGGTTTAGCACTTCTTTTTGATGATAATAATAATAACAACTGACAGAACAAAAGGCCATTACTAGAAACTAAGAAAGAAGAACTGCAAAAAACATATTACAGCACTGTAATAATAATAATAATAATAATAATAATAATAATAATAATAATAATAATAATAATAATAATAATAATAATAAACAAACTACAATGCAGGTGTCATTTTCTTTCTGTTGGTGGTTTTAAGTGCAAAATGTCTTGAGGCTACACTCAGATGCAGAGCTCTGCCACTGGAGTTTTAGTGAAGTTGATGAAAATTTATGTACCACATGCCAAATTGTAGCAAGAGTATTAAGCTACCTAACCTGAACAAACTAGAAGTCCATACAATTTTTCAGCTTTTCAAGTTGTTTACCAGAACAGTTTCAAAAGGAAGAGACTCCGAATTTATGGTACTTTAATACTGTAGTGGTGAAGTAGCTAATACAAAAAAAACTGCAGTTCTATAAATTACCTTAGGTTCAACAAGATCCAACAATAGCCTAGTCAAAATCTTTGGTTAAAATAAAATGATCATCATAACCAGTACAAATTCAGGTGCATAATATGTTTGCTGTATAAGTACTGAAGTCATATTGGAAAAGAAAGAAATATTCAAATTTCAAAGATACTTTCAATTTAATATTTTAGGGTTTGAAATTCTGATTATTCTTCATCCATGATTACTGCATATTTTCAAAATTATTACCTCTCTGGATTTGATCTCCCTAGGATGATTACGAATTGCAGATATTGCCTTCTGGTAACCCATTGCTCTCCACGTATCCTTCTTGTTCTTATATACTGCTTCCAGTTTCTCAAGCTCAGTAGTTATGTGGGTATTGAGATTGTTTACTTTACTACTTGAAGGTTGGGAACAGGCAAATTTATCCTGAAAAAAATTATATAAATAATAAAAACATACCAATATTTACATTTACTGTACTTTTTAATCCATTAAAATATTCTAGTTATCTTACTGATAATTAGTACACTTCAAATTATAACTTTAATTAATTCCTGTCATAGCATATACGGTGGTACCCCGAGTTCTGAACTGTTCCCAACTCAACCAATTATGTAAGTGTATTATTGTAAGTGCTTTTGTAAGTGTATTTTTGGGGGTCTGAAACGGACTAACATAATTTACATTATTCATTATGGGGACAAATTCGTTCGGTAATGGCACCTGAACAGCCTTTTGGAACGAAGAAAGTTTGAAATTCTGGGTACCACTGTATATTATACATGGATGCCTGCTGTTACCTGGATAAAACTGATGCACTGTAAGTTGCAGTATGACTAACAAAGAACTTTAAAGGAAAATCAAGTAAATCTTCAACCAGAATGAACAGTAAAACCCACCAGATAAGATTTTCTTCAGATTTTTAACCCCAGAGGGTTAGCCACAAAGGATAACCCAAGAAAGTCAGTGTGTCATCGAGGACTGTCTGTCTTATTTCCATTGGGGTCCTCAATTTTGTTCCCCAGGATGCGACCCACGTCAGTCGACTAAAACTCTGGTACATATTTGCTGCTAGGTGAACAGGACAACAGGTTTAAGGAAACGCATCGAAATGTTTCCACCCCGCCGGGCCCTCCATGTGTGAAGTGAGAGCTTTAGCCACCAAGCCACTGGGCCACCAAGCACTATCATTTCTTCTCTTTACTTTAAATCACTCATGCTCACTTATACACATGACTGTGTGACTTCTTCTCCATGTTGATGGTAATGTGGAATTATTTTCTATTGTCTGAAATTTTTGATAATCTTGTATGTGGTTATCATGTCTCCTCTTTTCCCAACAAACAAGCTTTCATTAAGGGAGAATAAAAAAATTTACAGTTTGGAAAATGAATGCAGGAACTGAACCACATGGCAATGCTAAGATTTAGTCTAAGAATACACAAGCATGTACTACTTACCTTAAATCTACTAGGTAATAGTTTAACTGGAAATTGTGAAGCTTGTTGATATCTCTGATAATTTTCACTATTGTCATTCTGTTGGTCTATGTTACTTGTTGTGTGAACTGGTTCTCGAGTCTTCACTTCTTCTGAGGTATTGTCTTTCTTGTACACTTCATTATTATACAAGTTGCTGTTTTTAAAGTCACAGGGGACTGAAGTTAGATTTATTTTTGCTTCCTTTACATCGTCAGGATTCACATTTGCTCTCTGATGAGTGAATTTTTTGGTCAATGTGTTTACTACATGATCACCGACACTGTCTTTCTCGCTTTTTCCTAAGTAATTTAATAACTTATCCTTATTTTTTATTTCTGGCTGTTCAGGTACAGGATTTTTTATTCCATCTTCACTGGCCACTGCACTAGTCTTATTTTTATGAGTGTCAGTGGAGACCAAAACTGGTATTATTTCATATTCTTTCGTCTGAATCTTTGCTTTTGTTTTGACACACTCCACAAGCCATGTGCATTTAATAAAAGCAGTGTTATGGTAATTGGATGGGTCAATTAATAATTTCAACTTTTCATTATCAATTGATTCTTCAAAAATTACATGTGACACTACTTCAGAGGGCAATGGCAGTATTTCTACAATTTCACCTCCATATTTCCTAATATGATTTTGAAATATAGTTAATCTCCTAATACCAAAGTTTGCTGGATGAATATAGCATCTTACTCCTGAGAAAAAAGTGAGAGATGCTTCATGACCAGTATTGGCTACATTACAGACAGTTTTAGCTTTCTTTACTGATTTTACAGAATGACCGATTTTTCTTCTCATACTGATCGTATGTCCCACTCTGAAACAACAGTATATATTTTAATCAATCTCTGCTGTTAATGGATTATTATTATTATTATTATTATTATTATTATTATTATTTTATTATTAAAAACAAGTGCTAAGCTTGTATGGGCCACAGAGCTACTGTTAATGAAATACTTAAATCTATGAAGTAAAATATTCTGGGGAAAAGGGATCAAAATACCCCAAGAGAAATTAGCCATACTGACTGGCTTTCTTGGGTTATCCTGTGTTACTAATATTAAGGATTAATAATCCAAATATAATCTTATATAATGAGATGTGTGCTGCAATATTATTACTGAATGTTTGTATAACATTCATGAAAATTCATTGCCAATGTATCTTCTTTTGTATTTATCAATGAAAATAAAAATTTTATGAGTTGAATAGATGCAATAAATACTTCAGTAGATTTTGGCGAGAGATTTAAACTGACATTAGTGGGCTCATTGAATGTAGTCTGCAAATTCATTCATAACAGTAGGCCTAGTTAACTGTAGGCTATCATTCTACTGCTAAACTATGTACAGACCATGACCTAGTTCTGATCTATGTAAATTATGAAACATATAAAGGTCTCAAATACAAATTATCCATTATTCTTTATTGCTCCTTTTTTCTATATGTCTTATTTATCTAGTTAATTAAGGGGTGTTAGTTCCTTATCTCCAACTGAATGTTCCTTCAGAAAATTACCAGTGCTAACTATAGACACAGTTCAGACTTCAAAGAAATAACTCTTTTATCCAGAAGCTTAAGCAGGTATATACCCAAGATGGGAGGCAGGCAATCCAAGAAAGTGAAGCGTACCTAGAGTATACCTGGAGGGTGTTCTGGGGGTCAATGCTCCTACTACCAGATCCATGACTAGGCCTCATGGTGAATCAGGACCTGATCAACCAGGCTGATACTGCTGGCTGCACGTAATGCAACATATGAATCACAACCAGGCTAGTCAGGTACTGACTTTAGATGTCAGACCAGCTAGTAGTCCCTTAGAGCTTCAATTAGAAAGATTATGTGGAGAGGATGGTGGGTACTGAAGGGACCTATGGTCTCAAATAATGTAGTCAGCTTTGGGTCTGGATCAGAGTTTTGTTAGTAAGTTTAATATCTTTATGTACCCCATACCCATCTTGTGGGTGGTTGTCAAAAGATTAGAGGTACATAATGGGTCCAGAGACTGGGCCCCAAAGTTTTGATAGCTGAACAAGTTACAAAGGTAAGGAACTCCAGGTAGATGTGACCTGGATCAGAGAGGTACAAGTTTCCCATATAAGTTGGTCCTTTCAAGCCTGGATCAGGCACCAAGAGAGGAGGTTCCTTTGAACTGTCTTAGTAAACCCAGAAATACTCATTAACCCGTAAATGGTCCAGGCAGATCTACATTCACATGTGTAGTGCTACAAAAGTAGATCTAAGTTTTTTTTACACATTTTCAAATGTAGAAAAACTAAAAGATCTACTTTTTTTACATACTCTCAAATGTTGAAAAAACGTATATATACGTTTGGACCGTTTACAGGTTAACTGGGGGTACACTAAATCTGTAGGAGGCCGTACAATGCAAAGGAAATGGCAGGCAATCAGATTCAATCCAAAAGATTGGGAAGGTGATTTGACTTCAGATATTTAGGCACACTGTGGCTGCTTTAGCTTATTTTTAAAATGAGTAAGATTATTGAAATCTTTCAACTTGGCTCTTAAATTATTCCATACATTTGGTCCTTTAAATGTGCAAAGAATTTCTGTAGATGTTAAATTGAATGCGAGGAATTTCAGATAGTTGCTGACTACCTTTTTTTTTACTGGGTTAACCTAAGTAATTTACATGTTAAATTATGTATGATAATTGTACTTATGTGTACCTGTACCTAGATAAATTTAAATTTTGTTTTTAAGGTGTGGTGCCTATGTGTTCTGTTGTAGATAAGATAAGATAAGATTTCGTTCGGATTTTTAACCCCGGGGGGTTAGCCACCCAGGATAACCCAAGAAAGTCAGTGCGTCATCGAGGACTGTCTAACTTATTTCCATTGGGGTCCTTAATCTTGTCCCCCAGGATGCGACCCACACCAGTCGACTAACACCCAGGTACCTATTTGCTGCTAGGTGAACAGGACAACAGGTGTAAGGAAACGTGTCGAAATGTTTCCACCCGCCGGGAATCGAACCCGGGCCCTCCATGTGTGAAGCGGGAGCTTTAGCCACCAGGCCACCGGGCCAAGTTCATTGTCAGTTACATTGTAATGTTTTGAACATGTGGACTGAACAGTATTCTTTTCTTAAGTATGAACTACATTTATATTTATTAGGCTCCAGAATTTGAATACAGTGTGCTGCCTGGAACGACTTGTGATTGATCCGAGAACTGCCTTTTGTTGATTCATAATTAGTTTGAGGTGGGTAGCTGAAGTAGATCCGTAGTCCGGAACTATGGAGCTGAACACTTCCCCAGGTTCAAGGACTGACCATCTCAAAAACTATTTCTCCAAGGTTGATGACTGACTCTCCTCAACGCTGGTGAGAGGCTCTTGATCTAGGGAACTGGATCTGTGCTCCAGTTCCCTGAATTGAGCTCGAATACCCGCCATCCCCCCCTCCACGTGCGCTGTATAATCCTACGGGTTTAGGGCTCCCCCATGATTATAATGATGACTGATTACATCATGTTTACCTCGTCGCTACTCTTGCTGTCTAAAGTTTACTCTCTTCTGTATCTGACTACACGAGTCTGTCGCCTAGACGAGACGTTTCAATAATAAATTTACCTAACTGTTGCAAATTTGTCTTACTAATTAACTTATTGGTATTTTATATCATTTTCACCATTAAACAAACATTTGACGTTACCTTTTGTTGGGTTTATAAGAGCCAGTGACAGCTTATGTAGTATCGAACCCGACTTCCCGATGTATGAGTAACATCTGTTGCTGAAAACTGGGCCATGAAAGAATAGGGATCAAGAATTCCTTTGTAAACATTATTATTAGTAGCATTATAATCAAGGGGAAGCGCTAAACCCGTAGGATTGTGCAGTCCTTTGTAAACAAAAACAGGAACTAGAAGTTCCCAATTAGATGAGCTGGACGTCCTTGCCAAGACCCAGCAGAGCGTGTTGCCCACACTCACCATCTGAGTACAATAACCGACTTCTCACCAGAACCATTAAAGCATTATCCGAAGAGCGGAAAAATGGAGTTGGCTAAAAAAAAGCAGATGACCAGGTGCCCCTCCTGTAATATGCCCGGCGGGTAAAGCAGATGAGAAGTGTCCCAGAGAGAGTGAGGGGATGGGGGAATTTGTCACTGATACTCAGACAAGAGCGAGACGTCCACACCCGATGAAAGCTGGAGCAAAGTCCTTGATGCTACCAGTAGTTGTTGGGGGTAATAAGGGCCACTGGCAGTTACAAGGACCCCCAATGGAAATAAGTCAGATTTTTTGAGTTATCCTACATAATTTACACTATGCTTGATAATTTTAGGTATGTGTATGTATGCCTCAATAAACTTATTTACTGGCGATATATTGAGCACTGCTTTCCCATGCATGGGGAAGTTTACTGAGGTAAAATTTTACTCAATTTTGGATTACAATAATAATAATAATAATAATAAATAATAATAATAATAATAATAATAATAAAATTTATTTTATTATTATTATTATTTCTACAAGTATGGAGAGGGAGCATGGACACGGGGGTCGTCCCACAGTTACTAAAAACAACAGACATAGCTCCACTCCACAAAGGGGGCAGTAAAGCAACAGCAAAGAACTACAGACCGATAGCACTAACATCCCATATCATAAAAATCTTTGAAAGGGTCCTAAGAAGCAAGATCACCACCCATCTAGAAACCCATCAGTTACACAACCCAGGGCAACATGGGTTTAGAACAGGTCGCTCCTGTCTGTCTCAACTATTGGATCACTACGACAAGGTCCTAAATGCACTAGAAGACAAAAAGAATGCAGATGTAATATATACAGACTTTGCAAAAGCCTTCGACAAGTGTGACCATGGCGTAATAGCGCACAAAATGCGTGCTAAAGGAATAACAGGAAAAGTCGGTCGATGGATCTATAATTTCCTCACTAACACAACACAGAGAGTAGTCGTCAACAGAGTAAAGTCCGAGGCAGCTACGGTGAAAAGCTCTGTTCCACAAGGCACAGTACTCGCTCCCATCTTGTTCCTCATCCTCATATCCGACATAGACAAGGATGTCAGCCACAACACCGTCTTCCTTTGCAGATGACACCCGATTCTGCATGACAGTGTCTTCCATTGCAGACACTGCAAATTCAAATTCAAATTCAAAGTTTATTCTCTATAAGGATTACAATGTTGATTTTACAGAAATTTGGTTATTGTGTGGTTTACATGTTGTAAAATAGTGATTACAGAGTGTACCACTAGAACGCTTAGCATGGCTAGGCATTTCGGGCAGACTTAGTTTTATTCTTAATTGTAAAATATTACAAATTATGAGGTAAGTTGGTATTATGGCTAAGTGACTAAATACTAGTTTGTGAGTTTAGCAATGTGAATGCTTTTGTTTTGGCACAGTACATAGTTTCAGTATTGGAGTATCACAGGATTCATTATTTTAAGATTGAGATTAATATTTCTGTTTATGGTCAAATGAGTGAGTGAGTGTAAGTGTGAACCACCAGGTGGTATTCGTGTAGTTAGTTGACGGGGTGTATCAGGGAGATAAGATGTTTTCTAATGGTAGTTTTGAAGGTGATGAATGTGTCTGCAGTTCTAGAGTTCTCAGGTAGGGTATTCCAGATTTTAGGGCCTTTGACATACATTGAATTTTTGTAAAGGTTTAGTCGGACACGGGGAATGTCGTAGAGATGTTTGTGTCTGGTGTTATGCCTGTGGGTTCTGTCACAACTATCAAGAAAGCGTTTTAGGTCAAGGTTGATATTAGAGTTTAAGGCCCTGTAGATGTAGATTGCACAGTAGTAAGTGTGGATGTACTGAACTGGGAGTAAGTTTAGGTCTATGAAGAGTGGGGGGGGGTGTGTTGCCAGGGATGGGATTTAGTGATTATTCTTACTGCAGCTTTTTGTTGGGTTATTATTGGCTTTAGGTGTGTTGCTGCAGTTGATCCCCAAGCACAAATAGCATAGGTGAGGTATGGATAAATAAGTGAGTGGTATAGTGTGAGAAGGGCATTTTGCGGCACGTAGTATCGTATCTTGGAGAGGATCCCAACCGTTTTGGATATCAACCAAATCTTTCAGTGGGCTGCAGAAAACAATATGAAGTTCAACGATGAGAAATTTCAATTACTCAGATATGGTAAACACGAGGAAATTAAATCTTCATCAGAGTACAAAACAAATTCTGGCCACAAAATAGAGCGAAACACCAACGTCAAAGACCTGGGAGTGATCATGTCGGAGGATCTCACCTTCAAGGATCATAACATTGTATCAATCGCATCTGCTAGAAAAATGACAGGATGGATAATGAGAACCTTAAAAACTAGGGAGGCCAAGCCCATGATGACGCTCTTCAGGTCACTTGTTCTATCTAGGCTGGAATATTGCTGCACACTAACAGCACCTTTCAAGGCAGGTGAAATTGCTGACCTAGAAAATGTAGAGAGAACCTTCACGGCACGCACAACGGAGATAAAACACCTCAATTACTGGGAGCGTTTGAGGTTCCTAAACCTGTATTCCCTGGAACGCAGGCGGGAGAGATACATGATTATATACACCTGGAAAATCCTAGAGGGACTAGTACCGAACTTGCACACGAAAATCACTCACTACGGAAGCAAAAGACTTGGCAGACGATGCAACATCCCCCCAATGAAAAGCAGGGGTGTCACTAGCACGTTAAGAGACCATACAATAAGTGTCAGGGGCCCGAGACTGTTCAACTGCCTCCCAGCATACATAAGGGGGATTACCAACAGACCCCTGGCAGTCTTCAAGCTGGCACTGGACAAGCACCTAAAGTCGGTTCCTGACCAGCCGGGCTGTGGCTCGTACGTTGGTTTGCGTGCAGCCAGCAGTAACAGCCTGGTTGATCAGGCTCTGATCCACCAGGAGGCCTGGTCACAGACCGGGCCGCGGGGGCGTTGACCCCCGGAACTCTCTCCAGGTAAACTCCAGGTAAACATGTACAAGGCCCGTATAGGCCTAGCTGGCATCAATGACATACTACTATATAGAAAGCCCCTTGTTATCCGTCCCGTCTCGGGACTGATAACATCGGATTACAATCATCAGATTACAGTCATCGGATCCTTTTCCCGATGGTACTTTTAATGAAAGTGCACTTTTTATGTGCACCAGCATATCACATTCTCAGATTTTTGTTTGTACACTGCAACCTGCATCTTCTTGAACAAGTAGCGTACAGTCTGCTCTTTGTACCTTTCTTTTTCTCGGCCTTTGTCTATTGCTAACATTGAATTTCTGGTTTCTTCCCTACCTCCACCTCTCCACTTATTAAGTGGAGAGGTGGAGATCAGTTAGAGGCTTCCCTCTCTTCTCTTCCCCTCCAAGTTTTAAATACAAGAACTCCCACTCATTTTAACCCACACACTCAGTGAATAAACTTACTCTCTCCTGCATATATTTCTCAGTATGCTTCTCTTCAACTGCATCCTACCTGGTCTGTGCTCCCAGATTTACATGACAGCGATCATTTTCCTATCCTCCTTTCTTCCCATTCATATTCTCACACTTGTAGCTCACGTTGGCAGTTTGAACGTGAGAACTGGGCCCTTTACTGGCGTCGCACTGTTTTTAGTGAGGAATCATCGCTGTCATCCTCCGATGAGCCAGTACAAGTATTTTTGTCTTCGGTTTTAAACGTTGCGTCAAAATCCCTCAAACTTCGAGTATGCACTCTGAGAAATGCGTGCCTTGGTGGTCCGTAACTTGTGCTCGTGCAGTGCGTCTGAAACGTGCTACATAGGGCAGTTATCGCTACAAGAGGATTACAGAGCGACTCCTTGATTGTAAGCGGGAGAGGGCAGCTGCCCGACGTGCAGTCCGTCAAGCAAAACGCACCTGTTGACGGGAGTGTTTCTACTGTATTCTACAATAATAATATCTTTATTTATACAATTACATGTACAAGGTATACAGGCCTAGCTGACATTAATGACATACTACTATATAAAAAGCCACTTGTTATGTAAAGCATTTCGGGCAAATTAGGTCAATTTTTGTCCCTGGATGCGACCCACACCAGTCGACTAACATCCAGGTACCCATTTTACTGATGAGAAACACAGACAACCGGTGTAAAGAAACACGCCCAATGTTTCTACCCTGGGCCAGGAATCGAAGCCGGGCCCTCAGCGTGTGAAGGGAGAACTATTACCACCAGGTCACAGGCCACCTTTTCCTCTATGACTTTATTTAAAAAAAAATGTCAGGAAATTGAGTCGTAGTTCTCCAGTCCCTGCCCCCGTACTTAGGGGTGACGGCGTCAGCATTGCTAACCCTACTGAAGTTACCACAGCAATTGGAAATCATCTTGTCCGTATCTCTCAGGGGCTCCACATATGCCCCTTATTTCTCTCCTCCAAGTCTGCTGTAATCTTGAAGAATTTGAATATTCTTCAAGACTACGGTGTTCTTCAACTCCAAGGCTGAGGGATTACCTCATCTTTTGTATATAGTTCTACATTCTTCACAGTATGTTCCTGTATTGTATTGATAAAGCCACTAGATGGCAAAACGTCTATAAATTATGATACCCAATGTTGCACTTGTGTCTAATTCTTCAATCTGTCGGTATTATAAACCATTCATGTGCAGCAGTGACTTGTTAAGGTCACTTGTTGACGCTGTTGGAAGACTTCGACTTTACTCACGCCGATAGACTTACAACGTTATATTTACGACGTTATACTCAAGTCGTTAGATTTACGACTTTAGGCTTACTACATTAGATTTGCTACAGTAACACAAGTTTAGGTATTATAATTATATATAGTAACCAAGTAATTCAACTGCGTGAAAATCAGTTACAATAACAAATAAGGAACAGTAGGATTTGCGACGTTAGACTTAGGACGTTACGACGCTAACGCTACTGTTGCTGCCCCTCTGATACTACTGGGCTGTTGTTATTGCTGCTGCGGCTGTTGTTACTGTTGCTGCCCCACTTCACATGTCGTGTTCCCAAGGTCTGACGTTACCAGTTAAACCGACAATGAAACATTAAAAAAACAGTTATATGTTATGCAACATATCCATGAAGATGATTTTATTCAAATAAATAACCCAGGCAGGTTCATAGTCCCAGATAACCCGAGAAAGTCAAGCCTATTGTGGCTTATGTCCGCTCACATCTCTTTTTTTTTTCTAGGATGCAACATATAATAATTGACTAACTCCTAGATGTGTAATAACTGCTAGGTAACAGAGGCAATTAAGTGCTAGTTAACAGGGACAGTTAACTGCTAGGTTACATGAGCAAGTAAGTGCTAGGTAATAGGAGCAATTAAGTGCTAGGTAACAGGAGCAGTTAACTGCTAGGTAACAGGAGCAGTTGACTGCTAGGTAACAGGAGCAGTTGACTGCTAGGTAACAGGAGCAGTTGACTGCTAGGTAACAGGAGCAATTGACTTCTAGGTAACAGGACCAGTTGACTGCTAGGTAACAGGACCAGTTGACTGCTAGGTAACAGGACCAGTTGACTGCTAGGTAACAGGGGCAGATGTTAGGATACTTGCCCATACATCCCGCCGCGCCCAGAGTTGAACCAAGGTTCTTTTGGCTGTGTGCTAAGTGCACTTCCGCTGTACTGAAAGGTATATTGCTTTTGCTGTGGTTTTGTCTACATTTATTTACAGACAATCATGACATAAATCATCAATAGCAACTGTGTTTGAAACTGGGAGTGGAAAGTACTGGTATGGTGAGTTGGCACCCAGGTAGGGTGAAGGTACAGGAGTACCCAGAGTCCAGGGTGAGAGAGAGCGCCTCACCTTCATGCCTGGGAACACCTGTACCCTCACATGAGGTCAACTTTATCACCACTACACACACACACACACACACACACACACACACACACACACACACACACGTACTGTTTTAAATGTGAGCTTTCTGTCTTACCTCTATTTCAGTAATGCTTTTATTTTACACTTTCTCCGGCATACATAATGGGCTTATTTCTTTATAATTCTTACGCATTCATAAGATCCTTATACGTACACGGAAACTATGAATATGCTCTCCAACAGCTCTTACGTACTTTCTTTTTTTTTCATACATATACTGAAGACATACACCAACTGCAGCAAAATTATATCCCCACCTGCTTTCAAACACTTCACTCTTAATGCCATTTGTCGCAGCTGAGTTATTACCTTTCATTTTACACACTGCCTCGTGTACTTTTTTCCAGTCATTTCTGAATCTTTCTTACTCCTACCAGATGTTATTTCTCTGCTCAGTACACGTAATCACCACCTCACTTTCAAGAACATTTAACACCTCAAATTAGTTTCCCGTCTAACATTTTCTAATTTTGTTTTTAACTACGAAGTCCGTGTGCTCCTCAGGCTTTCTCAACTTATTAATGTTTCTCAGGAAAAAAGCTTATATTCATCCATTCTCTTACTTGCTCTCTTTTTGCACTCACCACTCATTTAACCTCGTATTTTCTCCTCAGACGCTTTACCTTCTGTGTATTATTTATACATTGTAAAATATTTCTCATATTCTAAATTACCAACAGTCATTCCTACTCCCACCTTCGTCTTCCTCCTCATACCCACAAACTTTTGCTTTGCCCTATAGTATTGCATTCCAAAATCTGCCATATTCTTGTTATGGGACAGATGGGAAGGTGTATGTAGCAGCCCTGACGAGAGTCAGGGAAACCACCACACCGGCCAGGTGCAGCTTCCCACCACACAAGGACGTGTGGTAGGGAAGCGGCTGGGAAATGATGGTGGGGGAGGGGTAATTAAGTTTGAGCCTTCTACCTCCACTACTACTACCTCTACTACTACTACTACTACTACTACCACCTCCTGCCTAGTGTTCTAGTGGTACACTCTTATTATTTTACATGTAAACCACACAATAACCAAATTCTGTAAACTCAGCATTGTAATCCTTATAGAGAATAAACTTTGAATTTGAATTTGAATATATTCCCCTCCCTCCTTTTCGTTACTGTGACTTTGTAAATGGTCCAAGTCGGACCGAAACGTCGTCGTAAGCTCCTCTCTTCTATGTGCGGGTTATTTGTGTATCGTTCCAGTCACAGTATTGTGCCTTTTTTGTTATTTATCTCCATTTCCTCGAATCAAAAACTTTTGCCAACATGAAGGCAGACCGTAACCTGGAAAGAGGTCCCGTCCAGGAGTTAACCCGCTTCGTTATTATGTTTAATTTCAAAATTGAGGTGTATATGAATGGTTCAGAGAACCGACAAGTTGATAAATTAGACACAAGTGCAATAGTTGGGTATCTTCAATGAGGAAACGTTTCGCCACACAGTGACTTCATCAGTCCATACAAACGAGAATCAATCAGTCCATCAATCTTTTCAAGATTGATGGACTGATTACATCGACTCAAGGCTAAGGGACTGATTACCTCAAACTCCTCCTGTTCTTCACCATTCTCCTTTGTAAGAACTGATGAAGCTACTGTGTGGTGAAACGTTTCCAAATTAAAGATACCCAAGTATTGCACCCGAACGGAACTCCGTTCAGGTGTACTTGTGGTGCACCATAATTTGAACTGTTATCAGGGAGAGGTAATAGGTTTAAAGTCCACACACACACACACACACACACACACACACACACACACACACACACACACACACACACACACACACACACACACACACACACACACACCCTGTACTCAGGGAAATTATTAATGAAGCTACTAAAAATAATTCTTAATTCCCTCTCCATTTAAGGTGTAGTGATTATCAACATCTTACTGGGAGGGAGGGAAGGAGGGAGGGAAGGAAATAGGAGAGGAGAAATCAAGAAAGGAAAGAAGATAGGGAGGGAGGAGGGAGGAAGGAAGAGTCATCTGTTACCTAGTCATCAGCATAGATATATATATAAGAGAGAATGTGAGCATCCATTATTGGCCTGTGAGGTGTGTGTGTGGATCCATGTTATCATACATTATGACTCGTCAGGTGGTGGTGTTGCTAGTGGTGCTGCTGCTGGAGGGATGGGCTGCTGCCACCTTCTACCAGGACTGTGGTGAGAGCCTCTACACACACACATTTATTAGCGTTGTTATACTCCTCGAATTCATCCTGAGGGCTACAGCAGAGTCAACCATTGTGTCCAGGAACTTGAGTCACAACCTTGTGTAGCCTAAGTTATAATTACAATCAGTTAGTTACAACGGGCAAAGTTGAGATACTTGGTTAAATTGGTTGATAACATCATTATGAATGAGCTATTTCGACATTTCTTGAACAACTGTATAAAAATTGTCAATACAGTCTTAAATTATCGCACAGCCTCGTACACGATGACGAAGGACACCAGCATATATTTGGAACCGTTTATTATTATTGTTTATGGGGAAGCATAGACTCGTAGGAGTTATACAGTACCTGGGGAAAGTCAGGCAGCGAAGTGTGATCCAAGAATGGAAAAGAGATACAATTCCTTATCAAGAACCCATCACCGGTGGTAAAGAATCCCCCCTCCTCTCCTGGAAAGTTTTATTTGCAATAAGATATAAAATGAAGAGCCCTGTCTGACTTAGGACAACACGCGTTACCTTTACCATAACTGTGAAAATATACCCTGTATATTTTGACAGTTATGTGAAAATAAATTATTTAAAAAGTGCTATTAAGAAAGACAAAACAGCAGCATCAGAAGATATTAAAGTAAGTAGTGACGTGGTTACTTCAGCTTCAACTTTGAACTTCATGAAGATCGTGTCACGAAGTCTCATTACTATATTGCATTACTGTTTTTCATAATATTCTTTTACTATTTCCCAGACACTGAGGACAAACAAAAGTGCTACTGTTATAAATAAGTCATAAGTGTACTACAGTTTCCATCTCTACTTTCTCCTGTTCTCATTCGAGACAGTTTTAATTATCTGCAGTATAAGTTAACTAAGATATGGTTGTGGTTGACAGGTTCTGACGCCGAGGTCTTGGAGGTCTCTATCACTGACTGTGACATACCACCTTGTATAGTGCCACGACCCAGCTCTCAACATGTTAATATTACCTTCATACCAGGTAATTATCATTCTATAATAATAATAATAATAATATTTCATATAGTGCTAAATCTTAATGGATTGTACAGCATTGCATGTAGACGCAGTGGTGACGCTGCGTTGCAGAAGTATGCGAGGTCAGCTAAAATATGAGCGCAGTGGTACCTGGGTCCTCGGGTCAAATCGTGGGCGGGAAGAGACCTATGAACGTCCCCCCAACACCTGCTGCCCCTGTTACCTAGCAGTAAATAGACACCCATGTGTTAGTCTAGTGTTGTGTGTGGCATCCTGGGGGAGGACATAGAACCACACAATGGAATCAAGCCACACTGCGCGACTTTCTCTGTTTACAGTATTAACCGTCCGGGGTTAATAACTTCAACAAACTCTTCTTCTCTTGGTGTAGATAGTAAATAATGATCGGTGTTTTGTTTGCAGCTCACGAGGGTACTATCCTGGATACCGTCATCAACGCAAACATAGGAGGTGTGGACTTTCCCTGGCCAGGTCCTAGTGGCTGCCCTCTCCTGGTACAAGGCTCGTGTCCCATCCAGCCTGGACAAACCTACAAGTACAGCTCTTTAATGCCCGTCTATGCTGAGTACCCCGCAGTCAGTATCATGCGCTTTCTGCAACTCTCTCATATTGGTTATGATCATTCTCAGTTGATTACGTGACCAAACACATCAGTGTATCAAGCATAATTGAATTATTAGTAGAACCAAGTGTGCTTTGGTAGCTGCGGGATCCCAGAAAGGTATCCCCTTATTGCATAGCACCAGTCCCCTGTACATAAATGATTCGAGGAAGGTATCCCAGCATTGCATAACGCCAGCCCCTGTACCTCAATGATCCCAGAAAGGTATCCCCGTATTGCATAATACGTCCCCATACATCAATGATCCAGAAGAAGTATCCCTGTATTGCATAACACCAGTCATCTGGTATTTACACCTGGCCTTACCTTTCTGTCTTCCCCAAACAGGTGTCCGTGGTTGTCACGTACAAAATCACGGACGAAAATGAGGTCAATCACGCCTGCATTATGTTCCCCATCATCCTGGTGTAGTTCCCATCACCGGAAAGCTGATTTCGTTAGGCTGTCAGCCTACTTCACAACTGGAAATACGTTCTGAAATGAGAAGAAGTGAGTCTGAGCTTAAGAAAGTTATTCTCTGAGGGAGTGTATCTGAATGCTGGCCTGAGTGTGTGTGTTGGTGAATATGTCAGTGTTGGTGAAGCGTCTGTGTGTTGGATGCTCACTCTTCTTACCCAAGAAGCTGCGGTCATTTTTATTAGATGGTAGAGAGAAGTTTTGTGCCCACCAAACATACCGTATATTACAGGCAACGTATCGCTTTGGGTTAGAGCTTTATCAAGACATGTTTCGCTCCGTGTAGAGCTTTAAGAAGCCACGTTTCACTGTGTAGAGCCTTAAATTGTTTCGTTCTGTGTTAACCAAGTCATGTTTGGCTCTGTAGAGTTTTATCATGTTTGGCTCTGTGTAGAGTTTTATCATGTTTCCTTCAGGATAAACTTTTATCATATCATTACTCGATAAACCTGTACACAAAGAGATAAACGTTGTCTGTAGCGAAACATTGGGCTTCATCGAATAAGTTTCCACCATACCCTCCGGCTACACCTGCCATCCTACGTCAACAGTCGAGTAAAACAAATAGATAATGGATCTCACGTCTGAGAGATTATTATTCCACTGTAGAATGACCTTACCTTACAAACCAAGAGATAGATAGATAGATAGAGAGAGAGAGAGAGAGAGAGAGAGAGAGAGAGAGAGAGAGAGAGAGAGAGAGAGAGAGAGAGAGAGAGAGAGAGAGAGAGAGAGAGAATGAACTGATGTAGGTAACAGCTCTTAGCTTGTAAATAAAGTTAGGAACCTTAAACTAACCTAGTAAAACCCTGTGTAAAAGAGAAAGAGAGAGAGAGAATAAATTTATTTTGATACATTCCTATACAACTCCATAATGAATAAATCTGTTATCTTCATTTTATTTATCCTGTTCCTTTTTTGTGTGTGTAACGGAGGATGCGTAACCCGCCCCGAGGACGTGGGCCTACTGTTAAGCCTACTGCTTCACGGCCTCCTCCAGGAGCGTGGTGTGGCCCGGTGGCCTGGTGGCTAAAGCTCCCGCTTCACACACGGAGGGCCCGGGTTCGATTCCCGGCGGGTGGAAACATTCGACACGTTTCCTTACACCTGTTGTCCTGTTCACCTAGCAGCAAATAGGTACCTGGGTGTTAGTCGACTGGTGTGGGTCGCATCCTGGGGGACAAGATTAAGGACCCCAATGGAAATAAGTTAGACAGTCCTCGATGACGCACTGACTTTCTTGGGTTATCCTGGGTGCTGGGGGGCTAACCCTCCGGGGTTAAAAATCCGAACGAAATCTTATCTCAAGTGACTCTTCAGGTCACTTGTTCTATCTAGGCTGGAATATTGCTGCACTCTAACAGCACCTTTCAAGGCAGGTGAAATTGCCGACCTAGAAAATGTACAGAGAACTTTCACGGCGCGCATAACGGAGATAAAACACCTCAATTACTGGGAGCGCTTGAGGTTTCTAAACCTGTATTCCCTGGAACGCAGGAGGGAGAGATACATGATTATATACACCTGGAAAATCCTAGAGGGACTAGTACCGAACTTGCACACGAAAATCACTCACTACGAAAGCAAAAGACTTGGCAGACGATGCACCATCCCCCCAATGAAAAGCAGGGGTGTCACTAGCACGTTAAGAGACCATACAATAAGTGTCAGGGGCCCGAGACTGTTCAACTGCCTCCCAGCACACATAAGGGGGATTACCAACAGACCCCTGATCAGCCGGGCTGTGGCTCGTACGTTGGTTTGCGTGCAGCCAGCAGCAACAGCCTGGTTGATCAGGCGCTGATCCACCAGGAGGCCTGGTCACAGACCGGGCCGCGGGGGCGTTGACCCCCGAAACTCTCTCCAGGTAAACTCCAGGTTATCTGATGACGGACGAAGTTCCGTGCTGAGGCATTCACTGTTCATTCATATTATTATGTATTTATTTTATTATTTTATTAGTATTATTGACTATAATTATGATTATAATTATTATTAAAATTAAATTAAGTGCTAAACCTGTGAGGGTCATAGAGCACTGTGGGGAGGTTAAGACGATGTGAGAGGCAGAGGTGTGCAAGTTAAGGGTTAGTGAGGGTGCAAAGTTAGGGGTTAATGAGGGTGCAAAGTTAGGGGTTAGTGAGGGTGCAAAGTTAGGGTTAGTGAGGGTGCAAAGTTAGGGGTTAGTGAGGGTAGGGGGTTAGTGAAAATAAAACTGAAATCAAAGTTGGTATAAGAGGTTAGTTTCAGTTACAGAAGTTGAGAAAGAGACTTCCTCAAAGTTGGGTCTTTCAGCGAGGTGGCCAGTGAGAGTGTTGAAGGTGAGGTAGATCTAGACGCTCGACGTTGATTTTGTGTTTACTCCGAAAGGCAGGACAGTGTGTTAAGTTATGTTGAACGAGCATTACGACCTGGGACTCCCAACTCAGTGGTGCTGGTTCTGTGTGATTATTCGCGAGTGAATCGTGTGTGTGTCCGGTACACAAGAGTGAGACTGTAGTCTCCCAAACACAGCAACCGTGGGATGATTAAAATCCTGAAAGTGGATATTGGTTAGCATTTGTGTATCAAATGATGAGAGGTGTGAGGAGTACTAACACCTGCGTATCACGTAAAATATCACAGGTACTGACACAGCCCCTGACATGCACATAAACAAACACACACACACACACACACACACACACACACACACACACACACACACACACACACACACACACACACACACACACACACACACACACACACTGTCGCCAGGCATTGCTTCACACCGTCTGTTAAGTTTATTTCTGTGGCCCTGGCACTCCCGCTACTGACCAGTCAAAGCACCCTGAAAACCACCGTGGCACCCTGACGACTACCGTGGCACCCTGACGACCACCGTGGCACCCTGACAACCACCGTGGCACCCTGACAACCACCGTGGCACCCTGACGATCACCGTGGTACATATGTTGCACGAAACACTGCACAATTTAATCATGAAATAAATATTTCAATAATACCTAATTATCAAAGTATCCCGTACAGAAATATGCCAGGTATTATCCGAGAGTGTAACTAGTGAAAACAACGGTATCATGGTTGTGGGGAAGCGTTAAACGCGAAAGAGTCTTACAGCGTCTGAGGGACAGAAGGTACATTAATCAGGTTTGATTCAAGAAAGAGGAAGATTGCTCCAATTACTAGGATCAAGAGCCCTTCCCCAGCATCAAGGTGTATTTCTCTGTAGAAAGCGTTCATAGGATAGACCTTGTTAAGTAAAAGGACACAAGTGCAACTAATGTGACATTTTATTGTGGCAACGTTTCGCTCTCCAGGAGCTTTAAACACTACACGGACACAGAGGTTATATATAGTATACCAGTATTACATCTCACTAAATACCTTCTGTGTCCGTGTATTGTTTGTAACAGCTTGTTAAAGATTCTGGAGAGCGAAACGTTGCCACAATAAAATGCCACATTAGGGTCTGACCAGATCTAGTTCATTACCTTTGTAACTTTTTCAGTTATCAAAACTTTGGGGCCCAGTCCCTGGACCAATTATGTACCTTTGTAATCATTGGACTGCCACTTTAGTTGCACCTGTGTCTTTTACTTAACATAATGTCGGTAATTCTACCAGTATTAATACAGGATAGACCTTGATCACACTCAGTAAATCAATCCTTTTTTTCCTTCTAGTAAATCCAGGCTCTGTCAGGACTTTTCTAAGAAAGTTTCTATCATCTCTGAGGCGGAAACCTATGTAAACAAAGGGTCAAGTGAAACTAAAATGATGTGAAGATCACCTTAGTCTTCACGACTACGGTGATCTTCACATCAATTCCAAGGCTGAGGGACTGATTACCTCAGTACCTTAACCAAGGCTGAGGGACTGATTACCTCAGTACCTTAACCAAGGCTGAGGGACTGATTACCTCAGTACCTTAACCAAGGCTGAGGGACTGATTACCTCAGTACCTTAACCAAGGCTGAGGGACTGATTACCTCAGTACCTTAACCAAGGCTGAGGGACTGATTACCTCAGTACCTTACCAAGGCTGAGGGACTGATTACCTCAGTGCCTTAACCAAGGCTGAGGGACTGATTACCTCAGTACCTTAACCAAGGCTGAGGGACTGATTACCTCAGTACCTTAACCAAGGCTGAGGGACTGATTACCTCAGTACCTTAACCAAGGCTGAGGGACTGATTACCTCAGTACCTTAACCAAGGCTGAGGGACTGATTACCTCAGTACCTTAACCAAGGCTGAGGGACTGATTACCTCAGTACCTTAACCAAGGCTGAGGGACTGATTACCTCGGTACCTTAACCAAGGCTGAGGGACTGATTACCTCAGTACCTTAACCAAGGCTGAGGGACTGATTACCTCAGTACCTTAACCAAGGCTGAGGGACTGATTACCTCAGTACCTTAACCAAGGCTGAGGGACTGATTACCTCAGTACCTTAACCAAGGCTGAGGGACTGATTACCTCAGTACCTTAACCAAGGCTGAGGGACTGATTACCTCAGTACCTTAACCAAGGCTGAGGGACTGATTACCTCAGTACCTTAACCAAGGCTGAGGGACTGATTACCTCAGTACCTTAACCAAGGCTGAGGACTGATTACCTCAGTACCTTAACCAAGGCTGAGGGACTGATTACCTCAGTACCTTAACCAAGGCTGAGGGACTGATTACCTCAGAACCTTAACCAAGGCTGAGGGACTGATTACCTCAGAACCTTAACCAAGGCTGAGGGAATGATTACCTCAGTACCTTAACCAAGGCTGAGGGACTGATTACCTCAGTACCTTAACCAAGGCTGAGGGACTGATTACCTCAGAACCTTAACCAAGGCTGAGGGACTGATTACCTCAGTACCTTAACCAAGGCTGAGGGACTGATTACCTCAGTACCTTAACCAAGGCTGAGGGACTGATTACCTCAGTACCTTAACCAAGGCTGAGGGAATGATTACCTCAGTACCTTAACCAAGGCTGAGGGAATGATTACCTCAGTACCTTAACCAAGGCTGAAGGACTGATTACCTCAGTACCTTAACCAAGGCTGAGGGACTGATTACCTCAGTACCTTAACCAAGGCTGAGGGACTGATTACCTCAGTACCTTGACCAAGGCTGAGGGACTGATTACCTCAGTACCTTAACCAAGGCTGAGGGACTGATTACCTCAGTACCTTAACCAAGGCTGAGGGACTGATTACCTCAGTACCTTAACCAAGGCTGAGGGACTGATTACCTCAGTACCTTAACCAAGGCTGAGGGACTGATTACCTCAGTACCTTAACCAAGGCTGAGGGACTGATTACCTCAGTACCTTAACCAAGGCTGAGGAATGATTACCTCAGTACCTTAACCAAGGCTGAGGGACTGATTACCTCAGTACCTTAACCAAGGCTGAGGGACTGATTACCTCAGTACCTTAACCAAGGCTGAGGGACTGATTACCTCAGTACCTTAACCAAGGCTGAGGGACTGATTACCTCAGTACCTTAACCAAGGCTGAGGGACTGATTACCTCAGTACCTTAACCAAGGCTGAGGGACTGATTACCTCAGTACCTTAACCAAGGCTGAGGACTGATTACCTCAGTACCTTAACCAAGGCTGAGGGGACTGATTACCTCAGTACCTTAACCAAGGCTGAGGGACTGATTACCTCAGTACCTTAACCAAGGCTGAGGGACTGATTACCTCAGTACCTTAACCAAGGCTGAGGGACTGATTACCTCAGTACCTTAACCAAGGCTGAGGGACTGATTACCTCAGTACCTTAACCAAGGCTGAGGGACTGATTACCTCAGTACCTTAACCAAGGCTGAGGGACTGATTACCTCAGTACCTTAACCAAGGCTGAGGGACTGATTACCTCAGTACCTTAACCAAGGCTGAGGGACTGATTACCTCAGTACCTTAACCAAGGCTGAGGGACTGATTACCTCAGAACCTTAACCAAGGCTGAGGGACTGATTACCTCAGTACCTTAACCAAGGCTGAGGGACTGATTACCTCAGTACCTTAACCAAGGCTGAGGGACTGATTACCTCAGTACCTTAACCAAGGCTGAGGGACTGATTACCTCAGTACCTTAACCAAGGCTGAGGGACTGATTACCTCAGTACCTTAACCAAGGCTGAGGGACTGATTACCTCAGTACCTTAACCAAGGCTGAGGGACTGATTACCTCAATACCTTAACCAAGGCTGAGGGACTGATTACCTCAGTACCTTAACCAAGGCTGAGGGACTGATTACCTCAGTACCTTAACCAAGGCTGAGGGACTGATTACCTCAGTACCTTAACCAAGGCTGAGGGACTGATTACCTCAGTACCTTAACCAAGGCTGAGGGACTGATTACCTCAGTACCTTAACCAAGGCTGAGGGACTGATTACCTCAGTACCTTAACCAAGGCTGAGGGACTGATTACCTCAGTACCTTAACCAAGGCTGAGGGACTGATTACCTCAGTACCTTAACCAAGGCTGAGGGACTGATTACCTCAGTACCTTAACCAAGGCTGAGGGACTGATTACCTCAGTACCTTAACCAAGGCTGAGGGACTGATTACCTCAGTACCTTAACCAAGGCTGAGGGACTGATTACCTCAGTACCTTAACCAAGGCTGAGGGACTGATTACCTCGGTACCTTAACCAAGGCTGAGGGACTGATTACCTCAGTACCTTAACCAAGGCTGAGGGACT